ACACACACACACACACACACACACACACACACACACACACACACACAATCTGTAGCTTCTGGGAACCTACCCTTAGTTAATTCTGATTGGTAAATAAAGATGCCAACATCCAATAGCTGGGAAGAAGAGAGAGGCGGGGTTTAGGTTTCCCCTGGCTAGGGACCTCGAGGAAGAGAAAAAAGGAGAGCCGCCACGCCTTAGAAGAGTGTGCAGGAGAGTCGAGATCCGACGTGGAAGAACATCACGCGAGAGGGAGAACCAGAGCCGCCATGTAAAAGGGCCAAGAGAACCGGTCCCGAGGGCTGCTTAATTAAGGTAAGAGCAGCCAAGATGGAACCTAGAAATTAGTAAGCAGTAACTCAGAGTTACTGAGGTATATTCTAATAGCATGGAGGTTAGGCAGTTGCCCAGCTATTGTGCTGCTTAAGGCATATGAAAATAAAAGGTGGCGGTGGTGGTGTGTGTGTGTGTGTCTTTGATATGGGAACATGAACCATTGAGGCTGGCAGTAACCCCGCCCTAGGATTTATTAAAATATTCATACTACAGGGATTGGTGGGATTTCAAGTCCAGAGCCTAGGCTTTTTACTATGTATGGTGTGGGCTGGGTCCAGCCATTAGGGAAGTTAAATGTTCTGTGTGTGGAACCTGGTGGTTGGAAATGCTCAGAGGAGAGGCCTGGTTACTGTGTACCTCAAGGGGCTTACATTCTGTCCCTTAAAAGACCCTTAACAAAACGAAAAAAGGCCCTACGACACTTCTTTACTCCTCTTCTTTTAATAGATTTGTAATTGTTTCCATTATATTTGGCTGTATGCCAGCATTATGGCAGAGGGCAAGTAGTTTTAGAGAGAGTGAAGAAAGGTAGGAAGGTTGCTTTAATTTTTCCCAAGCTTGACTTGCGGGGAAATTCATGCATCCTTCCAGCTTATTGAACAGCCTCCGGATCTTTATTAAGTTGGCAAACAGCAGAAGGTCATCACTACTCAGGAACCTCAGGGCTGGAACCTCCTCTGGATCATGGAGCTTGTCAGGAAAAAAAAAAAAAAAAGAGGGGCCAAGAATGAGTGCCCATGAAATGAACAGAAGTGGGCTGGTGGGCGGGGCCTGAGCACTGATCTGGAGGTGGGGCATTGGGACCATTTTACTGCTAGTGAGGAAAGAGATTGCCAAACTGTGGAGACTTGAGAGAGCAAATGGACTTCAGACACTATCGAAGCTTATAATTTATTCACGAAATTTAACGAGCATCTACTAAATCTACCTTAAATAGTCTCTTCCCTAGAAAGTATCTAGTGGGGCAGAGGTGATGAGGGGTGCTCTAAAGGCCCAGGATAAAAGTATGGAGAGGGATATCTTGCTAGAGAAGATCGCTTGGGAACAACTAACACTCCTGTGTGCCTTGGCCTCCTGGAGTCCATTCCTCATCGCCTTATTTGCCCTGCCTGCTTCCTCCCTTACTCCGCACTTCCGCCCTTCCGCCCTTCCGCCCTTCCGCCCTTCCGCCCTTTGGCACTTCCGTTTGTAGCTGCTCCTAGCCTGCAGCTTCAGGGCCACCAAAGAGGGCACTTGTCCTCAGTGGAGCAGGCTAAAGAGTAGTGGAAGCAGAGCCTTCAGCAAACAGTTAGGGATGCAGGGGCACAAAGAACACTTTGAGTTCTCACCCCACCCTCCAGAGAAAGAGCAACTGTGAAAACAATGGGAAAAATAAAAATCCTTAGCATTGGGTTCCTTTTTTCATCAAAATGCCTTTTCCTTATTAAAATTCATTTCCGAAAGACAAGGAGAGAAGCAATGGGGGTGGGGTGAGGGGCAGGAATCTGTGTGAAGGTGCCCAAGAGAGGACATTTTTGTGTTTCAGAGAATGTACTTACCGTGAGAGTAATGTACCAAAGGGAGGCTATACATTACTGTATGTGCTGGCATTAGAGATCCACACTGTACATTTCTAACCAAGAAAGAAATGTATTAAGAGGTGAACCCAGGTAGACAGCCAGACTGACTAACGGGGCCTCGAATCATGCTGAACACACTTCAGGCCGAGTCTCCCTGTGTTTGATGGTCCTAAGAGATTTTGCATGTGTGCTGAATATTGAGATCATGTTTCTATATGAAATGCACGAATGCATATGCATTCCCTGTTTTCCAAGGTGAAGGCACTTGGAAAACTTGGAGCAACCTCCTCCTTTAAAAGCAGACGAAGTAAAGCTTCTCAGAGTTTAAGAGGTGTGCCCTAAGTCATTTTGCACGTGGAAGCACACCAGCTTCTGTGACTATTTCTCTGTGTCTGTGTGGTGATTTTGTTAGCTCAGTGCTTAGTCGGTGCTAGGTACCAAGCTTAGTATTATACATTTCCAAAGACTCCCCACTGCACCTGAGAGGAGTCATTATAGGTGAGAGGCTGAAGCAAAATAAAGTTCACTCACATCCCCAAGGGGCAGACTTGAGATTTGAAACTATAGACTGTAACTTGATGTCTGTGTTCTTAACCACTACATTATGGCCATCGTGGAATGTGTGCTTTGACTAAGCACTAGGATAAAAGAAGGAGAGAGGGCCAGTTCTGTCCTTCCAGAGTTCATTGTCAGTGAGAAGGCAGCCATGATGTCAAGAGAGGCAGTCGGGCTCAGCCAGTGCAGGGCAGGGCCAAGCCCATGGGAAGCTCAGAATGTGGTAGATGATGGCTGGATGAAGACCCAGGCAGTCTAGCAGTGTCTCCAAAGAGTCAGAGCTTGTGTTTCCAAGCTCTTCCCTAGGTTAGAACCCAGGTTTCCTCACCCAGCTTAGGGCTTTCTGCCATAGCAGGGAGGAAACAGAAACCTCACAACATCAACCCTAAAACAGGACTGTAGAGGCTGCCAAATGCATCCACACAAGGAACACTCAAAGATGCTCTGTGGACTTCAATCTGAACTGAAAGGAATTTTAAGAGAGAAGAAAATGTAAGGTTGCGCTTTAGTTACACAGGAAACTTTCATTGTGAATCCTCAAAATTTGTAGTATATAGATTATACATAAATATATGTGATCAGGAATAATATTAAGAAAATTATTTTACTCTTAACATCTAAATGATTTAAACTTTTTTTTTCAGACAGGGTTTCTCTGTGTAATAGCCCTGGCTGTCTTGGAACTCACTTTGTAGACCAGACTGGCCTCCAACTCTCAAGAGATTCACCTGCCTCTGCCTCCCAAGTGCTGGGATTAAAGGTGTGAGCCACCATGCCCATCTTAAACTATTTTTTTAAAATGCACATACCATTACTTTGGTTCCAAGGCTGATTGTTGCCTGTTGGCCCATAGCTAGAAAATTAATGGAGACTCTGTCTTGTTCTAGGATGCGAATTCCAATGTAATGGTTCAAAGCCAGAAAGACAGGTTTAAATGAGACAAAGGATGAGGAAGGCATGGTACTTGACCAGTTCCAGGTTCGTATCCTGTTGCCAGCTTGATCTGAGTATTGGCCTCCCAAGATGTTGATGTATACCCTGGAAGGCAATCAGAATGGTCAGTATAGACCTGGGTGTGGTGGCTCACCCCTACCATCACCTTTGCCATCACAGCATCCAGTGAGTTGTGGGGGGAGGAGTGCCAGAGTGACACCTTGGTTCAAAAAAAAAAAAAACCAGGGTAAAAAAAAAGAAGGGTAAAGATTCAGGATATGCCTTCAAGGAACTTCAGCATACAGAGAACACAGTTGTGCTGTACAGAGGCAGAGAGAAGAGACTTTGAGGATGCTGGGACCAGTCAGAAAACTCAAGAGTTCAGCTCATGTGGTTTAAGATCCCTGAAATCAACTGGCCTCTACAGCTTGTTGAATTAATATAGGTGACAATTACAACATTCTGCTCAATGTAACACAGACTTACTATAGATCCTGAAGAATAAGTATAAATTTACCATTATACACCGTGTTAATGGATTGATTACTACTATGGACTAGAAATACAGATACTTAACTGTGTCCCAGTTTGGTGAGCAATGACAAGGTTCAAGCTTTGCCAGTGACTGACAGTTTTATGAGTGAGATTGTACCTACATGTGATTTGAAAAGCCAACTTTGGTGGCTTATAACCTGTATCTAGCACTTCAGAAGATGAGGGTCACAAATCTGAGGCCAGCCTGCCCTGTAGAGGGAAGTACAACTAACTAGGGCTATAGAGTAAGAGCGTGTCTAAAAAAAAAAAAAAAAAGGCTTTCTTTCTGAAAGGCTTAAATTGTATCTGAAGTTGGAACCCAGATTTTTCTTTCAGATTAAAGGAAATAATATGGAGTCATAGAGTCTATATATTGGTAAATTAAAACGGAATCAGGATCTTTCTATAGAGATTTAGATCTTTCTCTTTTATTATGTGTGTATGCATGGAGTGCATGTGGGGGTTGCCTGTGAACATTCGTGTGGACGTCAGAGGATGACTTTGTCTAGGCAGATCTCTCCTTCCACCTTCATCCGTGGATTCCAGTAATAGAACTGGTGTTGCTGGAAGTGCATGCAGAATGCCTTTACAGGCTTTGTGGATCCAGGGATTTCGTTCATGTATTATTGCCTGACACAGCGACAGGATGATTTCTACTTAGGAATGAACCTCAAGAGAAAGCAACACAGTGTAGTGTGTCTCTGAGTTATATTATTATCTAAAGACCATTAACTTAAACAAATCTTTGTAAGGCCTTTCTTAGTGTTGAAGAGAAAAAAAATACAACTAAAAACAGTGAAAAAAATCATCAAAAATACTAAAATAGCAGCAAGGACCTAAACATACCAGACATTTCCATTGGGGTGATAGCAGGAGCTTCTGCCGGAGGAGTCAAACAGTGCCAGGATAGCAGGGCTGGTGGGCGTGTCCTCTTGGATTATACAGATAAAACCGTCTGTCTTGTTGGGCATTCGCATAATGGCTAGGTTTCCAGATGGATAGCTGAGATCAGATAAGGTCCTCTGAGTAAGCCAGTGATTGTTGACTGTTCGTGGAGTGACGTTAACTTATGAGGAGCTCTTTGAAATTAGGAACTGTAACCTTAAAGACCTTTCAGAGAAAAGGTCTCTATTACTTTTTGTTTTGTTTTGTTTCTGTTTTTGTTTTTCGAGACAGGGTTTCTCTGTGTAGCCCTGGCTGTCCTGGAACTCACTCTGTAGACCAGGCTGGCCTCAAACTCAGAAATCCGCCTGCCTCTGCCTCCCAAGTGCTGGGATTAAAGGTGTGCACCACCACTGCCCGGCCTCTATTACTATTACAATTATAATTTTGTATTATTAATACAAAACTATTGTATTCTTTTATATGAATTGAAATGTATTTATAAAATGCAAGAATTCCCAACAAAATTGCAAGGAACAGAATTTAGAAATATGGTTTCTGTGTCATGATAAAGTTAAATTCATCCCAAGAGTGTAAAGTTGCTTCAACATTTGAAAAAAAATCAACTAATATACCACATTAATAGAATAAAAAGCAAAAAAAGCATGATTATCTCTATACTCAATAGATATTTGTGTATTTGTGCGTGTGTGTGCGTGTGTACACATGTGTGCACACATATAAAGGTTAGAGGACTTAAAGGACTGAGTTCTCTCTCTACTATGTGTGTCCTAGGGGCTGAATTTAGGTCGTCAGGCTTGGGGAAAGCACCTTTACCCACCATCTCACTGGCCCCTTCTAGTCAATTTTATATGAAAGTTCTAACCATGGGAAGTTTAGGGAAAGAAAATATCTGATTAGAAGGGAAGGTAAAAGCCATATTTGGAATTTGTGTATACAGAGTCCTTAGGACCACAAAATGAAATTTCAGGACCAATAAATGAGTTCTGGCAGACTGTAACTGTAGGCTGTAAGACCAACATACCAAATCAATTGGCTTTCTTTGTATAGCAGGGAACATTTTGAAAAAATCATCCCATTCACGCTAGCATCAAAACCAAAGCACACTAAGCATCTTAGTGTTAATCGGGTCCATATGCACAGACTGCTCAGAGGTAAAGTTAAGTCAAGACTGAGTTTGAACCCTTTTGCAAATGAGCCACAGCTTCTATGAAAGTTATGAGCCACATGAAATAAAACAATAATAATAAAAGCTGGGCAAATTATCTAATAAAACAGAACTCCCATTCTTTTTCACAGGGGTGGAGTACAGCCTTATCATTTGCAACCATGGACCTCATTTTTCTGGCTTATTGTTGGGTTTGAGTAACATTTGAGACATTGACTTAAAAGGACTCTGTTCCACAAAGAGGCACTCAGTGAAAAGGGTTTCTTTGTTGTTGTTTTGTTATTGTTGTTTTTGTTTTTTCCTGTTTCTCCAGAGATCCTGGATGACTTTTATGCACAAACTCCATGGCCTGGCTATCTGAGTGTCCTATGAAGAACATAGGCTGTGACTTTGTGTTCATGAGCATTAGGGGTCAAAACATATCAGAGCTGGAAAATGTCCAAATTTCATAGCTAGAATGTTTCCTCCTAAATATTTAATTCAAGGAAATAAGTTGTAAGTCTGTAACAGGGAAGGCAGAGAGCTGTCCCCTGAGTGCTGGAACAGGCTCACAGCAGTGTGGTACGAAAAGTTCTGGATCTCAATGTCTATTGGCATTTAAATACTTTTAACATTACATGAAAGAGCCAGTTGTAAAATTAAGTCTATGCTTGAGTGGATTTCAAAGAAATATGCATGTAAGGACAGGGAAGGCAGAGCAAGGGAAGGTGAATTTTAAAATGTTACCAGCTTTCCTCTGGGTGGTAGAATTCTGAGAGTATGTATTTTTTTTGTATTTCCCTCCTCGTTCCCCTGGTTCTTTTTCCTTCCATCCTTCCTTCTTTTCCTCCTTCCTTCCCTCCCTCCCTCCCTCTTTCCTTCTTTCCTTTCCTCCTCCCTCCCTTCCTTCCTTCCCTCCCTCCCCCTCTCCTTCTTTCCTTTTCCACTTCCCTTCCTTTCCCTTCTTCCCTTTTTCCCTTTCCCTTCCCTTTCCCTTCCCTTTTCCCCTTTCCCTTTCCTTTTCCCTTTTCCCCTTTTTCCCCTTTTCCTTTTTCCTTTTCCCTTTTCTCTTTTCCCTTTTTCCCGTTTCCTTTTCCCCTTTCCCTTTTCCCTTCCCTTTTTTCCCTTCCCTTCCCTTTTTCCCTTCCCTTTTCCCCCCTTTCCCTTCCCTTTTCCCTTCCCTTTCCCTTCCCTTTTCCCTTCCCTTTTCCCCCTTTTCCCTTCTTCCCTTCCCTTTTCCTCTTTTCCTTTCCCTTTCCCCCTTTTCCCTTCCCTTTCCTCCTTCTCCCTTCTTCCCTTCCCTTTTCCCTTCTTCTCTCCTTTTTCCCTTCTTCCCTTCCCCTTCTTCCCTTCCCTTTTCCCTTCTTCCTTTTTCCCTTCTTCCCTTCTCTTTTCCCTTCTTCTCTTCCCTTTTCCCTTCTTCCCTTTCCTTCCCCTCCCTCCCTCCCTCCCTCCCTCCCTCCCTCCCTCCCTCCCTCCCTCTCTCCCTTCCCCCAGCCTTCCTTTCTTCCTTCCTTCCCCTCCATGTGTGAAACACTCTACCAAAGACATCCTACTTAGCTCTTCCCCCCCCCCCAAAAAAAAAAAAAAAACTTTGGGATAGGCTCACTCTAAGTTGGCCAGGCAAGCCATGGACTTGCTATTTTCCTGCTTTAGCCTCCCCTACCTCAGCCCCTCAAGTAGCTGAGGCTACAAGCCTATGCCCTCAGGCCCTGCCTGGTTTTCTTTTTTTGAAGTAAAACCAATACAATGACAGATGAAAAGAAAGGATACAATATTTGTGTTGTCCCATCAGGAAAGGAAGTGAGAAACTTGCTTCCGTGCTTGTAGCTCTTCTCCAGGAGCTCGTTCCTGATGACCTACACGCACAACAGAGTGACAGTAACTGTCATCTGCTGGGCTAATGCACTGAGCACAGTGGTACAAACTGGTTCTCTACTTAATGTGCTGGGCCTCCCTTCAACAGCATGGGACAGTCGGCAGTGACCTTTTCTCTTTGTTTTCTTAGAAAGAGTCTCACTATGTTGTCCTGGCTAACCTTTAACTCGACATGTTGAATCAACCAAGGCTGATCTTGAACTCAAGGAGGTCTGCTTACCTCTGCCCCAGATGCTGGGATTAAAGGTGGACATTACCATACCTAGAAAAATGAACTTTTTAACGTTGATTTATAAAAATTCTTCTTCCTTATAAATGTAGGATATAAGATATATAAAGATATATCATATGTAATTTAAATGATATTTCAGTTTGGGCTTGGTTTTAAATTTTAAATTTTAATTAATCAAATCCTTAGCAAATATTGGTTTTAGGTCTAAATCCATTTTATGATGTTAAAAAAAAATTACCTTGTGGCAGCACAAATTGGACTGAGTTGTACAAAAAAACACGAAGTGGGGAGGGATTGGGGTGAGGGATGAAAACTGGATCCGGGAGGAGTTAGCTGGAGGCGCCCGAGATGAGTATGATCAAAACACACTGCATGCGTGTGTGAAGTCCCCCAGTAGTACACATTTTAAACATGCAAAGAAAGTCTTTATAGTTTTGTATGTTGTATTTAGGTACTTGATCTTAAAATTTGTCTCTACATATGGTACGATGGTACAAGGTAGTCTTTTCAATTATATTAATAAAACATATGGCTGTCCAGTCAAGGTTGGCCCAGAACTACACATTCAAGAGACTTTCTTCCATCACTGCTGTGCAGCAGCACAGAGCATCCATCAGGGACACATGCTTGCGGAAGTCCAAGTATAGACTGTTCTCTGGCCCTGCTTCTTCTTCCCCCAGTTTAATCCCTCCCCTGGCTTAAATCACCATATTCCATGGAGGTCTACATCTCCCTTTGGGTTTCTTCCAGAGTGTCTTAGAAATTAGAGGTTCTTTCCACTTTAATGTCTACATAAAAGTGAAAAGAAACTTATGAAGACTTCCCTCAATATACATAGAATACACTCTTCTCAGAACCTTGTGGAGATTGCATCAGCTCATTTAAGGGTAGCCTGCCCCCTTTAAAGTTCTTCCTCTTTAACTCTGGGAGCATTAAAGGTTCACTGCAAACATGAAATACTTCAAATGCTAATGCAGTTTTGAGGAAGTAGTTAGAACTTTGGTGATTTTTCTTCCTTTTAATTTTCTAAGAGTGTGAGGTGGTCTTTAGTGTGTAGTTGTCAAATTCTAAGGTCAAAAGGTTTTACCTGAGAATATTAAAAAGATGTAAAGCGTAGAAGCAGTTGCAGTCTCAAGTCTGAGCCAGCTCTTTTTGAAAGATAGCTAATTGGCCGTCAGCAAGGCTCCACAAGAACTACTATATGTTTTAATCAAAATTGAATTTTTTAAAAAAATCACAACCAACCAACCAAACAAACAAACTGTAAGAGAGTTACCTTTCCACATGTTTTCCAGGAATCATAGCAGGTGATGGAGGCATTAGTCATCTGAAGATCAACTTTGTCTTCAGTGACCGCAGTCTGCGGTATATCTACAGAAAGCTGGTAAGAAATTGTCTTCAAATGCTTCGTATCCACTGGGAGAAGAATAGCATGAAGGTATATTTGTGCTTTGAATTAAAAAAATCTTTATAATAAAATAAAAATTCAAACCCTTGTTGCAAATGCATTGATATAGCAAACTTTTGTTTTAAAGGAAGAAAACTAAGGACTTTTATTAAATTAAAATTAGGAGTTTCTTTGATTAAAAATGATTGAAATTTTCTATTAAATAAAAAAGGAACATTCCTCTAAGAGATTTTTTATTATGTGGAATTCCTATGCTCTTGTTTCCTCCTTCCCCCTTCCTTTCTCCCTCCTCCCCTCCTTCCCTCCTTCCCCCTTCCTTTCTCCCTCCTTCCCTCCTTCCCTCCTTCTTCCCTCCTTCCCTCCTTCTCTCCTTCCCTCCCTCCTTCCCTCCCTCCCTCTTTCCCTCCTTCCCTCCTTCCCCCTTCCTTTCTCCCTCCCTCCCTCCTTCCCTCCTTCTCTCCCTCCTTCCCCCTTCCTTTCTCTTTCCTTTCTTCTTTTTTTTTTTAGAGTCAAGGTCTCAACTATATAGCGCCAGCTGGCTCAGAACTCTTTGTGGGACAAGCTGGGCTCAAGACCCCAGAGACCTGCCTGGCTAGAATTTAGACTTGTGTGCTACCATGCCTGTGGATTTTAGTTTCTGTATGTAACAATGAATTTCAAGAAGCTCCCTACAGTATTACATATTTAGTTACAAAAATACAAACTACATTGACTACCTTAAGTATCTTTTCCATAACAGAAGAAATTTGACACTGATTGGAAAACGAAGTTATTTCTTCCAAATTAGTTGGTCCATGAGGAGGCCATCAAACGTATAAAGCTAGGATTTCTGATGCTCAATTCAATTCTCCTTCAAATGCCCCAGTTCTGACCTATACTGACTAGCCCTGGTGAGCACAGGAAGGAAATATTCAGGTGTCTTTAGACAGATTTCCCACATACAAGTTTGAGAACAGAGCGCAATGGATGCTCCCTAACACAAGAGACACAGACTTGGTAGTACTCAGCCACTAAGAGGCATTCTGAGATGCAGCTACTTTATTTCAACCAACGATGGGACAGAGACCAAGAACTCTAAAAGCCAGAGGACCTGAACCCCATATCTCTTGACTCATTTTACCAGATACAGGCTTTCTGATACTTACAAAGGAACATTTTCAGCATTATTTTAATGTATGCCAATTTGATGCCTTGGCCCAGCATGTGAGGTTTCTGATGATGCAGGGCATCCATGACAAAAGTCTTACCGTCATCTGTTCCTGTGGGGCTCTGCTCATGTGATATGATCGCAAAATGCCTGGCCATCTGCCGCTCTTGTTTTCTACAGAATCAAAACAACCAAGCGTAAGTCTGAGTGGCGGTTGAAAGTGGAAACAGTGCTCTTCACACCTCACCCGGTCACGTGCCATCCTTTGTTGTTTTAATCTTTCATCACTCATGAATCCAGTTTATGTAGTCAGAGCCTGCAAGTGGTCCTATGGGCAAATCTCTCCAGCCTAGGAATTCTGAATTGCCCTGATAATTTATGTTTGACCACCTCTACTTTAAGTCAGTGAGCTCGTTAGGTTTTGTCCCCAATATCATCATTATTAGTATTATTATTACTATTTAGTATCTGTATATGTGTGTGTGTGTGTGTGTGTGTCTGTGTATGTGTGTGGTGCAAGGGACTTAATTTGTGGCCCTGTATACACAAGGGAGGTATTCTGCTACTGAGCTATATTCTGGCTTTTATGGGAACTTTTGAATCTCATAACATCAACCAGGAATGATAATGAGCTTGCTTTACCTCATTTCTATTTCCTTATAAGGAATGCAGTCTCATAATTCTATGTTTTGAGAAACCAAGTTTCATTTTATGAGACACTCTTCAGTCAGCGTATCCCATCTGGCTCAGCACCAGGGCCCGAGTTACCTCTGCAAAGCCTTTTCCTTTGCCTTGAGCCTGTCGATTTCACTGCCATGTGCTGCGTGAGGCGTGATACTGATTAATTCCATCTCGGGGGTTTTGGTGGTTAGCATTTCCTCATTGATATAATCAAGAAGATTTTGAAACTGAACACAGCAGGTCCTCTGAAAAAGCAAGGAAGCTATGACTTTGTCATGGATAGTGGGTAAAGAAGGTCACAGGGGATGAACCCCCCAAACCGCAGTGAGGTGTGGCTAACAAGAGGCTCTACCTCCTCTATCCTCTGTTAGCTTTGGTGAGGTGAAGGTCACACACCACACAATCCACAAGCCTCTAAGATTCATTTCAGCTGTTTTTTCAGTACTTCAGAGCACCCATCACCAGTCAGTTCAGTTGAAGTCTGTACCCACAAACAGTGGACCCCGCTCCTCAGAGCTGCCACAAATCACAAATCGGTTTCTTTCTTTATTTTTGAGACATTTATCCACGTCTACTCTCCATGTATCCAAGGATGACCTTGAACTTGTAATTTTTCGGTCTCCATCTCCCAAGCACTGGGAATACAACCTGTGTTACCATGAGGAGAACCAGCCTGCCTCCATCTTAGGCTTAAAAGCCATCTTCTAGTAAAGACAAACTAGGTTCATTCCTGTTTATGATTAAGCCTGTTTCTGTGCCCTACCTTAACTACAAATGTACTGCTTGTACCAGGAATGGCAATCATGTCTTTGTATCAGAAAGTTTCTCAATTTTCAGACACAACAAAATTGAAATAATTCCCTGCATCTTATCAGGTCTTTTGGGAACCCTTCCTCCTACTAAGTTGTCCAGCCCTGATATGAAGCTATATGCCTAGTCTTACTGTAACTTGTTATGCCATGTTTAGTTGATATCCCTGGGAGGCTTGCCCTTTTCTGAAGGGAAATGGAGGGGGTGTGGATCTAGGGTAGAGGAGAACTGTGTCCCGGCTTTTATGGGGACTTTTGAATCTCATAACATCAACCAGGAATGATAATGAGCTTGCTTTACCTCATTTCTATTTCCTTATAAGGAATGTGGTCTCATAATTATACATTTTGAGAAATCAAGGGATGAGGGACTGGGAATGAGTGGGGGGAGGGAAAACTGCAGTCAGGATATAATATTTAAAGAGCAATAAATTATTTTTAAAAAATCCATGCTCAACAAACTGTTAGAAATTCTGTCAATTATGGAAGTGTTTTTCTTGAAAAAGTTGTCAAAGTGTTTAAATAAGTCGTAGTTGGTTGGCAAGGGCTCAGGTGAATGAAGCAAAACTTCCTGGCTCAATTCATTCAACTTTTGAATGACAGGCAGTAGAGGATTTTTTTTTAAGATCTCACCAGTTTACCGAGCATACATCAGATACAATGGTTTCACCTCGATTCAAAATCACTAGCAGATTGCCAATCAGTGACTTTGAGCGTTATTTGGTGTAAGTGTATCTTTAAGAAATGCTTTGGAGCTTTTATTTGGTCTAGCCACAAAGCTGGGTGTCGCTGGTTGTCAGTGATACCTTCTACTTTTATTTGCTTCTCACCATCTGATTGACAAATGGTTTGTTGAGGTTGCACAGAATGAGAGATTCACAGTTCACAATGGTGTGCTTTCCTTTCTTCCTTGTGTGTATGTTTTTCTCATGAGGCATCCACTTATCAAGTTTGGTTTTTTTTCACTTTTCCAATTTATTTCAAATGTGGAATGAACGAATGACCTTCAAATGGTCTGTGTTGAGTTTTTCTGTCAGCTTCTCTCGTAACATGATAAGCTTTGATGACTGCTCTTAAATGGTCATCCTCAACCTCTGACTCCCCATCACCAAGTCTATCGCATGCAGGGCTCTCTTCTTCTTTGTGAAACTTCTTCAGTGACCACAGGACTGAGCATTTGCTAGCAGTTTCTCTCTTCTTTCCTCTCTTCCTTTATCCATCCCCTCCACCCCCAGGGCCCTTATGTATACCAAGCTGGCCTCAAACCTTCAACCTTCCTGTTTTTCCCTCCTGAGTTCTAGAATGGTATATATGTGTCACAGCACCAGGCTAAACATACTGTTAGTTCCAACAGAGCTTTGTCAACATGTTATTATCAGTCTTTTAAATTACAGCTTCCTAGTGGATGTGATTGGCATTTCCTTAACAGCTAACACCTAACCCTTAAAAATGATAACGTAAGAGACAGAAGCAGGAGAAACTACTACATATGTTTAAAAATAGCACACGGTCCTCAATCAAATCTTATTTAGAACTAACTTACATATGCTTTTCGTTTGGTTTGAATGTCATCAGAGGAACTGTCCAAATTAAAAAACAATGACTGTAGATCACTTCCACAAAATTCACATATGGGTTCCAGCTCTTGTTCATCCTTCAGAGAAAGAGAGAGAAAGTGAAGAAGTGTCCTAAGGCCCAGCAAGCTTAGGAGTAATAGGAGTGGGGTTGTGGGGAGTGAATGCTTAGCAGAGCCACAAAGACAATGGGGGATGATGGGGGATGTGCCAATTTATTTGAGAACAATCATCACAGAAATACTTGATGGAGAACTTCTAAGGGCCTGAGATTTTGTAGCTGAAGGGACCGAGCCAGCAAAGATCTGCGTGGTCTAGCATGTGACATCATTTCCACTCAAGTGTTAGAAGGGACTAAGGAGCCCTGCAGGGCATTTTGACTGCTAATCTCTGGCATAGTCATGCAAAGCAAAGTCAAGTGCTTTGGCGCTATGCAAATGGGAGAAGAAAGCTACAGAAAGGATGACCTCAGAGTGGAATGGACAGAAATATATACTATGTAACCTGTAAATGCTAGGAAGAAAAAGCCTTGTCATTACAGTATACATGTTTGCTACTTTTTATGTCTCTGTGACAGAATTCCTCACAGAGTTGACTTTAATGAAGAAGAGTTTCTTCTGGCTTGTGACTTAGAGGATAGAGTCTATCATGGCAGTGAAGGCATGGCCATGGTAGTACCTTGTGGCTTTTGTAACAGGAATGTGAAGTGGCTGGTTACATTGCCTCAGCAGTCAGGAAACAGAGATCTAGGGCCTGAATGGGACAGTCTGTGTGACCCATAAGACCTACTCCTAGGGACCCATTTCCTCCAGCAAGATTCTACCTCCTAAAGATTCCACAACCTTCTGAAACAGCATCATTAGCTGGGGACTAGGTAGTTAAATACATGAGCCTGTGAGGGAAATCTGACATTCACCATGTACAGTTACCAACTTTCTACAGCAAGCTAGAGTCTTTTCTTCCTGGGGTACCTGTGCTTGGAGTTCTGAGCTCCAAAGGGCAATTCAGGAGGAGAGGAAGCTGATGAGGAGAAAGAAGCAAAACAGAAGTCAGGATGGGTCAAGTAACTGTGAGAGGTTACTACACTAAGACCATGTTGGTATTTGTTACAGCTATGATTTCAGAGGATTCTTGGCAAGTGAGTAGCTAGGTCTCAGAAAAATCCTTTAGAAAAAGATTCAGATGTGCCTTTCGGGGCATGAATGGCACTAGCACATCTATATATCCCATGAAAATTATCCTGAGAGACAGGGTATCCAGTTCTAAAGGTGACCAAGTTAGCTAATGAAGATGGGGATTGGCCACTCACATAGAGACATCTGTAGAATGTCAAAACCGTCCCATAATAAGCTTAATGCACCACCAAAACCAGTGCGGAGATGATGAAAAGTGAAATGGTAATGACTATGACATGGTGACTACTTCTATACAAGAGACTTGGTGGTGCATTCTTTGGCTCATGAGTCTTTTTGTTCCTGCACCTGAAAATGAAGCAAAGAGCTTTTTGAAAGACTTTGAGTGCCACTGGACTCTTCATGTGAAGAAGGTAGGAAGAGGGTAGCCAGCCACTACCATGCCTGAACTCAACAAATGTTAATACTACCAGCCAAGTCTGCCTCTTGATCCAGAGGAACCAGCCTTGTCCACTATATCTCCCTGGGGGAGTCCACAAGGCATTCTTCTTATGGTCAAGCCCATTTCTGGGAGTCAGAGGAAGAGTATATCCCACCAGCTCAAGAGCACTCTTGATATAAGCCCTTCTGGCTCTGTTCAGCTAAAAATTTCAGTCTAAAGAGTCTATAGAGTGACTATCAGGTTTCCAAAGCAGAGTAAACAGCTCAACAAATAGTTATTGGTGTTATGCTACCTGGTATCTAAGGTATTGCCCTTTGCTAGTGCCACACAGTTCAACTGCTGTGCACAACGGCAATGAGCTACACATCAGTACATCCTCAGTCCTGCATATGTGCTATGATATTGGGACAAAACTCTTTACTTACCCTTACTATGCACACAAGACATCACCTAGTACATCTCAGAAGATGTCATCAAGGGGATTTGGATCTGGGAGTGTGCATTCTCTTCACACGGTTGTATACTATCCTAGATTGGGCAATAGCTTTGCTTCTGGCCATTCCTTTACCACTCTGGCCCACGGAATTACTAAGGAAACATTTATCTAGCTTATCAAATACTGGCATTAACTGGTTCCTTAATATCATTAAATATGGCAAAGGTTCACTTGTATTTTTAGGCTTTGTGACCACTACTGTTGGTTGAATTGTGTCTTCCCGGAAGATACATTGAATGTTTCACCTCTAGTATCTGGAAATGGGACTTTATTTGGTCTTTATGAAGGTCACCAAGTTAGAATGGGGTTATTGGGATAGGTTTAATCTGCTATTATTGGTGGTGTCAGTAGAGAAGGGTCTTTGGACATAAGGACCCAACAAGAAGCCAGTGAATACCGAGGCAGAGACTTGCAGGATACAAATGCCAGCCAAAGAGGGCTACACACTGTCCACCAGTCTGTAAAGCCAGGAAAATGAAGGGAGTCTCCCTATAGTGGTGACCCTGTTGACACCCAGATCCAGACTTGTGGCCTCCTGAACTATAGGGCAGAGGCTCTTTTGTTCTACAGCACTCAGATGGGAGGAGTTAGGAAGCCACCTCATGTGCTAGTCTAAGTAAAGGAACCCTTTGCGTTGGTTCTTTTAGACTGTATTCACATCTATTGTACAAGTCACTGTGTGGCCCCATTGGCCCTTTACAGCAATACTAAAGCAGAGGAACTGAAGTACCTTAAAGCTAATGTCCATATACGAGTAATCTTTTCTATATGACAGAATAGCCGGTGGCCCAATGCTGGGTAACGTCCTTAGAGAAGTTTCAAATAAATTTACAAAGTCTTCATTAAACTAAATAAGAAGAGAGAGAGAAAAAAAAACAATTAAAGATTGAATAAGTAACTTTACAAGAACAATGCAGTAGTTATTATGACAAATCGCTCTTACCTCCATCTCACATAAGATGCTTAGCTTGGGCTCTTCAGGATTAATTACCCAATTTCCTGAAGAGAAAGGATGGATTCAAATGAAAAATGGCAAACCATTTTACAGTATGCTCTATTTTTCTCTATTTTAGAGATTCTCCCCCATCCAAACCTACTAGGATGTCATACTCAAGCAGGAAAAGGTATGCATGTACACACATTCATGCACACACATGCACATGCATGCATGTGCTCATACACATGCACCCTCCCCCTCCCCCAAGCCCTTCACTTGCACTGCTTGCCACGGTACATTCTCAGCACTGTACAAATCAGATTTGTTCCTTACTGACAATTTGTCTTTTCCAGCAGAAGAAGATGAAAACAAGCAACCGCTTACCTCTTAACTTAGAAGCTGGACTTTCTGGGGGTGCTTCTGTTATCTCAATGGATGGTATTCGTTCTAACAACAACAACAACAACAACAAAGTATGTATATATTTATCATCAATCTTTAAAAAAGAGAAACCAAGTTGAGTATGAAAAAAATCATAGAGATATAAGTGCTTGCGTTTGTTTCATCTTGAATTTCCCCTCCTTTCCCTAAACACTGATTGAACAATAGGCACAGCCACCAACCACTCTGCATAAATTCTTAGGTTTAAAGCAGCTAGAGTCGGAATGATGAATCCAGAGACAAAGAAGATGATGCTGAGCCATAACAGCCCTCTCTGTCCCAGAGCAAGCAGGGACAAAGAGAGTCATTAGAGACAGGATTAGAAGGTGATCTGTCATGGGGAATGTCTGTTATCTGAAGAAAACATTGAAATATATTTTAAGGCATCGAGTCAACAAAAGTGCTAGTTCAAGCATAAAAATTAATGCCCAATCATTAAGGCCTTATCTGGGCTTAATAGAACAACTAACCTTGGAGCATCTCGTGACCCTATAATGGACTACCAAGTAGTCATTTCAGAGAAATAGCCACTCCTGATGTGGTATGGTGGCCATGCTGTCTTAGTCCATTTGGGATGCTGGGAAGGGCCAGAAGGTTTGGTGCCACCCGAGGGCTTGTTTCTTGGCTAACAGATGTTGTTGAGATTAACAAATTTGCCCAACATCTCAATGTTTATGTGTACTGCCCAGATTCAGCATCAGCTCTACTGCCCTTCCATACTAGTCCAACTTGCAGTTTGCAAGCCAACCTCCCAATAAAACCTAAACAAGCAAAGGACTCACTTATTTCCTTTCTAGTAGAAATGCGTTGAAGCCAACTTTCGTCCTCTGTTTGTACTGATATCTGAACTCTTTCATACAAACTTGGGTACAGATTTCTGAAATTTAAATCAAAATGTTACAGTGTAATTATATGGTTGTTAGCAAGTCTAACTCTACAGAGTATATTTTTAGTGGAATAATATATGCCCATAGAAAGTTCTGATGTTTTCTTTTAAAATATTTTCTTCCATTCCTATATTTTCAGTAAAATTAAACATGATATGTTTGATCAAATAAATTCTTTGGAAAGTGTTCCTGAAAGTACTCAGATCTGTGGTCCATGAGGGACAGTGAGAACTGGCCTTTTGGGTCAGAGTTTTAGTAGGAGTTATGTAATACCATAGACAGACAGGAATGGTGGGGTTCTAAAGAGATTCAGGCCCATGAGGGTAAATGGTAAAGGGGAGACTCCATAATATATAGTTGATATGGCAAGTAGACCACAGTGCAGATTGATTGTCTCTGATTCTCAAGAAGAGAGAAAGCGGGAAAGATTTGCCCTTTCCGTGACTGTCCATCAAACAGAATGTGACCTGTTGCTCCTGATTGCCTAAGATGCTTAGTAAACATTCTCTGAAGAAGTGAGGACTGCAGACTCACAGAGAGCCACAGGAGAATCCCTAACGTTTCACAGTAACCATGAGGGTAGAGATAGAGACGATATGCACTGCAGTCGGTGTGCATAGACTCAGTAGGCCCAGCTCAAACTCAACACTTTCTAGATCCTGGAGGCTTCTAACATTTTTTTTTCCCTATAGGGATTTACTAGCACCATATCTGTGCATGTGTGGAACTCTCTTGCTTGTGCTAGTAATGTGCACATTTGAACATCTGCATAAATTTAAATTAGCACAAAGTGGTCATTTTCTTTAGTTTAAAATGATATAGGGCTGGGCTTTCTGGCCAGGCAGTCTTGCCACAAAGGTGAACTTCGGGTTCAGTGAGAGACTATCTCAGATAAGACAAGACAGAGAGCAATAAACAAAGATACTTCTGGTCTCCACAGGCTTCTGCAGGCATGACTACACCAGCACGAAAACATGCATACACACTGCATATACATATGTGAGCACACACAAGAAATTATGCAAACCTTTGTTTTGCTTTGTTTTTCAAGACAGGGTTTCTCCCTGTAGCCTGGCTATCCTGGAACTTGCTCTACAGACCAGGCTGGCCTTGAGCTTGGCTGACTATATTTCCTGAACACTAAGAAGTTATATAGACTTTTTGAAAAGTACTAAAGTTAGGGGCTGGTGAGATGGCTCAGCAGTTAAGAGCATCAACTGCTCTTCAGGATGTCATGAGTTCAAATCCCAGCAACCACATGGTGGCTCACAACCATCCATAATGAGATCTGACGCCCTCATCTGGGTGTCTGAAGACAGCTGCAGTGTACTTTGAGCCGGAGGGAGCGGGGCTGGAGCAAGAGGGAGAAGGAAAGGGGGGAAAAAGAAAGAAAAGTGCTGAAGTTATGGCAAACATGTTGTAATTAAGAGACTTCTATTCCTTCTCTGAGTACTTTAATCAGCTTTTTGATTAATGCAGGGAAGTAAGAATTTAATAACTCCAGTGATAACAAGTAAATGTTTTCCAATCTCCCTTATTTTTTGACATTTTAATTAAGGAATTGTATCTTCTAAAATGATCAAACAACATTATTTCAGTTCATCAATTTAGCATTGTTACTTTCCCACCAGAGTTCAACTGTGTCTTCCTCTGTCATTTTGACACTTAGTTTCCTGGCACACTGCATCAGTGAAATGCTTTTGTTTTTCACTTCTGAAGCAACTGTGTCCTGGAATAGGCAAAGAGCTCCTCTGCAGAGGCCACTTATGCAAGTCTCTGAGGGAATCTTGTTTATCTAACTTTCCTGAGAGACAAGCTGTGGGTACTAACAGTAAAGCAACATGAGAGGGAAATCTCAAGACATTTGCTGTGTATTCTCCCCTATCCCCACCCCCAATGCAATAACTAACAAAAAATGAACACATTATTCATGCAAATGTCTTTGCCTTCCTTAGTCTTCCACTAAAGTTTTTGCATGGAATTTTTAGGTGGAAGATAAATGAGAATGGCCACAAAATTTACTTTGTGGAGAGCATACTAGGTAGAAATGAATATTGCTTTACCTGCGATATTTTAATTACCTTCACAAAAGCTAACCAAAGCCTTAGTATTTCCTTTTCACTGGCAAGAAAATGGAGGCCCATGGAGTCAAAAGGCTGTCTAAAAGAGTCAGAGAGGCTTCTGTCTTGGTCCAAAACTTATTTTGTCACTTTCATCTGTGTCTTAGTTATTGTTTCATTGCTGTGAAGAGACACCATAGCCAAGGCATCTCCTATAGATCATTTAACTGGGGGCTTGTCTACAGTTTTAGTCCATGATCAACATGGTAGGAAGCTGACAGGCATAGTGCTGGAGCAATAGTTGATAGCTTTTCCTGATCCTTAGGCAGAAGAGTAGGGAGGGGACAGGGAGGAGGGAAAAGGGGAGAGGGGAGAGGGAGATTGGGCCTTTGAAACCTCATAGTCCACCCCCCCCCACTTACTTCCTCAATGAGACTACGCCTCCTAATCCTTCTAATCTTTCTCAAATAGCTCCACTCCCTGATGGCTAAGCATTTAAATACGTGAGCCTATGGAGCCATTCTCACTAAAACTACCACAATCTGCCTTTTAAAGTGCCTCAGTGCCCCATTGCAGTGAAAATAGCAGTAAGGCAAATGAAAATAGAGTTGAACTGATGTTGGCTATATTCTTAGGGCATTAAAACTCTCTCTCTCTCTCTCTCTCTCTCTCTCTCTCTCTCTCT